AAATACTCAGGTGATTTTTGTGACTGTCTTTTCAAGACTGAACTAGAGGACCTGAAGTACTCTGGCATTCAATATAGCTGGTGTAACAGGCAATTTGATGGGGTATAATTGCTTGCAAACTTGACAGGGTGTTAGTAAATGAAGTATGGGGGAGAACTTTTCTTGCCTCGGAAGCTGGGTTCCTTACCCCTGGAGTTTCTAATCATTCTATTGCGTTGGTAAGACTGGGGGTTGGACTTCCTAGCGTGAGGAGGCCCATTAAATTCTTTGATTTTTGGGTGAAACATTAAGATTTTTTTTCCACTGTTTCGAGAGTTTGGAATACTCCACTGAGGGGCACTCCAATGTTCAAAGTATGCTAAAAATTGAAGTTACTAAAGAAAGAGCTAAACAAGAGGAATTATAGTAATCTTTTTTAAAGAGTTCTGAATGTCAAGCGAGCTCTTGAAGATATTAAAAAACTATCTGATAGAAATACAAATAACCAAGCACTTTGGATCATCGAGAAAGAGAAGCTCTAGCAATACATAGAGCTTCAGGAAGCAAAGGATAGCTTCTAAAGCAAAAATCAAGGATCCAGTGTCTAAACCTTGGTGATCAAAATTCTGGTTTTTTCATTAAATCCATTAGTAAACAGAGAATCCACAGAAGACTCACTGTTATTCAAAAAGAAGATGGAACTAGAACTGATGATTTTAAAGATATGAAGGAGGTGGTCCAGTATTACAAACTGATGTTTGGTTCTCCCTCTCCCCCATTTGGTTTTAACATGTAATAGGTGAGAAATTTTATTAGTAACAACATCACACAAGCACAAGCAGATTCTATGATGCAGAATGTCACAAGAGAAGAAGTCAAACAAACCATGTTCTCTATGAAAGATGGCAAAGCCCCCAGTCCTGATGGCTACCCTGCTTGTTTTTTTAAGAAGGCTTGGCATATTGTTGGGAATGAAGTCACATATGTCATCCTCTCATTTTTCAATTCTGGGACATTATTGAAAGAGGTGAACTCTACTATTATTGCCCTTGTCCCAAAAGTTTCCAACCCCATAAAATTATCTGACTATAGACCTATATCAAGTTGCTCAACCATGTACAAGTGTATCTCAAAGATTATTGCTAACAGAGTTAAAGTGGTTCTCCCTGAGCTTATTGATAAATCTCAATCTGCTTTCATTAAAAATAGAACCATTACGGATAACATCCTACTCTCCCAAGAACTCCTCAGGAACTATCACTTTAATAGAGGCAACCCAAGATGTACTGTGAAAGTTGATATTATGAAAGCCTTTGATAATGTTAGATGGGATTTTATCCTTGCTTTTTTATGCCATGTGGGATTTCCTATAAAAGTCATTGGGAGGATTGAGGCATGCATTACTTCTCCTATGTATTTAGTTAGCATCAATGGTGAACTTAATGGATATTTTACAGGTAGAAAAGGTCTTAGGCAAGGGGATCCTTTGTCCCCTTACCTCTTTGTTATCCTTATGGAAGTTTTCTCTAGTCTAATGAAAATGGCTACTCAACTGGGTAAGTTTACTTATCATTGGAGATGTAGTATAGAAGGGATTTCTCATCTTTGTTTCGCTGATGACCTTAGCAAAGGCAAAATTAAGTCAATTAGAGCCATCAAGGAGGTGTTGCTGACTTTTGAAGAGTTCTCTGGACTAAAGCCAAACCCTTTTAAAAGCCACATCTTTTTTCCTGGAGCCAATGATGCTACAAAAATTGACATTCTTCAAGAACATGGATATAGTGAAGAAGAACTGCCAATTAGATATCTTGGGGTGCCACTTATAACTACTAAGCTTAGGGCCATTAATTGTCAAGCTCTTGTTGAAAAAATTACTACCTGAGTGAATTCATGGAGTTGCAAATTTCTGTCATATGCCGGTAGAGTCCAATTGATTACTTCTATCCTTTTCTCTATCAAGATTTATTGGTCTTCTATTTTTATCATTTCGGAGAAGGTAATAACCAAAGTCGAACAGATCTTGAGAAGATTTCTCTCGTCAGGAACTGAGCTCAAGGCCAGTGGGGCTAAGGTTGCTTGGCAAAATGTTTGCTTGCCTAATAGTGAAGGAAGGCTTGGAATAAAGAACATGAAGCATTGAAACAAGGCTGCAATCATGAGATTTATCTGGAACATCGTCACTAATTATCCTCATTCTCTCTGTGTGAAGTGGGCTGAGACCTATCTTTTGAGAGGACGAAGTTTCTGGAGTGTCAAAATTCCATATAACTCCTCATGGGCTTGGGGGAAAATTCTCAAGCTTAGAACTGAGTTTCTCCCATTTATCAAGTTTAACATAGGAAATTGGAGATCCACCTACCTCTGGTATGACCCTTGGCATCCTTTGGGTCCTCTCCATCAATTCATTGGGGAGACAACTATTGATCATTCTGGGTTGGGAAAGAATGCTAAAGTCGATAACATTATTATTAATGGTGATTGGTCCTGGCCAATAACTCCTAATGGTGTTTTTCTTCAGCTGCAAAGAGAAACCCCCCTAGCTTCAAGCCTAACTTGAGTATGGAGGATCATGTGCAATGGATTTCTTCAAACACTTTTCATTACAATGTTAATTATGCTTGGGAAGCCCTTAGAGATAAAGGACAATTTCAAGAATGGTCCAAGATGGTCTGGTACTCGGGTGCTATACCATGTTACAGTTTTATTCTCTGGTTATCAGTGCAGCAAAGATTGGCTACCAAGGATAAGCTCTTCAATTATGGCCTTTTGCAATCAACGTAATGCAATTTTTGTAGGAGTGCCATTGAAACCCATGAGCACATTTTCTTCCAGTGTTCTTTTACTTTCAAAATCTGGACCTTTTTGCAAATGAAATGTAATCTTCAATGGCCTCACTTGAGTTGGCCTGGAACTGCTCAATAGTGTGTCACAAACTTATATGGTAAGAACCTGCGGAAGCTTATAGGTAAATTGATTCTCTCATCTTCTGTCTATATTGTGTGAAAAATAAAGGAATTGTCGATTATTTAGAAACTCCTTTAAAGATGTTGGCACTGTGTTCAAAGAGGTTATCGATAACATCAAGTTCAAAGCTTCATCTAAGCAGAGGATATCGGAGATCTACCTTAAATTTATGGCTTCAAGGAGAATGAGATCTTCTAGAGACTATATTTGAACCCCCTTGAACCGTTAGTGATTACTACATCAAACATTGGATGCCTGCTTTTTCTATTCTGTTTTGCTCTGGGATTTGTTACCTTTGGAACTGTTGCTGCTTTGGCCTTTGTTGGAGCCCTGTTTTGCATGTGAGGCTTCTTGTTTGATATGGGTGCCTCATGCTGCTTCCTTTCTTGCTGATGCTTGGATTGGAGGATCAGCTTCTTTCATTTTATTTTGGCATTCAAGGAAGAAAATGCATGTATGTGATTGCTAGTTGATAGTAATGCTTGAGGCTGATTCTCCATTTTTTGATCATCCTTTAGTGCTGGCTGCTCCTCTTTCCCATCTATACAGGATGGTTTTTGTTTATGCTTCTGCTCATCTTTGAAGCCCAGATAAGTTTCTGTTTTGTACACTCTTTTTTCAATCCTTTTGGATTCTGTATTCCTTTTGTTTTATTTTGCTGTTGGGATGGATGATCTTCTTCTCCCCAGTTCAGAAGATCAATCATCCCATGAAATCACCTTGTATATTCTTTTAATTTTTTTTAGTGAATTCATCTTAATTACCGAAAAAAAAATGTATTGAGCTTATTTAGTTCAAGATTAATGTTAAACTCTATTGACTTTGACCAAGTTCAATCATACGCGAATAAATTTATTGCATTATCATTGTGAAATCAAGTAAATTTGCCTATCAATGATTGTAAATAATCAAAATAAAAAAATTTTCTCTCAAGTTTGTTATACATAATATTCTTAAATAATGGTTGTAAATTAGTAATATTGTATGAGACAATGTTTACATCATTTTAAATTGTCAGTGTCACCTTTTCGTTATCCATAATTCCTAATAAAAGTGACATCTAAATTCAAATAGTATAAAAAAATGGGGCCTTTTTGCATTTTGTACCCCGAAATATGTCTAAATTCTCAGTTTGCATCACGAAATATTATTTTTTTCACATTGTACCAAAATGTCATAAATTAGTTCTAATGTGTCCCTCAGACTAATATCTGTTTTAAATTCCATTAAATATGGCTGCACATGCCACCTAGGTGTGTTGCTCTTGGGCAAAACTGTATTACCAGTCCACACCAATCAGTCACTCACTAGTGTACTGCCGATCCCCAACAAAAACCAAGAGACATGGATAAGTCTTCGTTAACCTTCACTTTTTTCTTGGTGGTCGCTCTCATCCTCTCTGGTGACTCCTCTTCCCCCCTTCTCTCTCTCTCTCTCTCTTTCTCCAACACACACAAAGTTGTTTATTTTTTACCAATTAGTAAGTTGGGAGGTGTTTGGGTCAAGGATATGGTTTATTATTACTAAATATTTATCTGAAGTAATTTTTCTTGTTGTGAAAGATTTACTTTAGGTACAGAATAGTTGTATGGTGAAGAAAATTCTCTGAATAGTGATATGCATATCATTTTTGACAAGTTTTAAACCTTGTATATTTTTTTTCCCTTCAAATTTGTAGAATTAATTACCTATGTAAAAGAAAAAATGACTAATACAAGCAATATTGTTGGCAGTTGGTAACCAGTTATTCATGGGAGTGCCAGGAGCTAATGCAAGGGGACCATACAATTGTCCCAGAATGATTAATTGTATGTCTATGTGTGAGGGGTTCCCAAATTGCTGTGTTGATGGCCAATGCATTTGCCAAAAGCAGAAATAAAGTTCTAAAAAGTCTAGATCGATACTATGTTTTATGTTATTGTTCCTAATCAGCCTCATTTAATCGTAATTTAAATTTATTGAGGCTTGATACGAAAGTTTCATTTTTGGGTAGAAATACTGCAAAGATTCGGTATGGTGGCCCTTCCATGAAAACTAAGTCAGGTGTTTTAAAGCACTTATTTCGTCAAATGAGTGAGCTCGGTATGAGATATTTGCACCAGTGAAAATCCATGGGATAGGGCTGTGCCAACCACTTCTTGCCTCTTTATTTCAAACTGTATTAATCACATAAACAAAGCATTTAAAGGTGCCAAATCAAAGAAACAAACCTGAATATAAAAAAAAAATAGTTAGCAGTAATCACTATCAAGATTACTGAGCAAACTACAATAGCTTAGCTAATATGATGACTGGCGTACATATGGCTGCGGAGCAACTATACTTGAACCAAATATCGCGAACAACCCTCTTAATTAAGGGCATGTTCAGTTTAGTCTTAAGGCGAGTATTGAACTTTATTATATATCTTGTTTGTTTTCAATAATATTTTTGTACATACTAAAAAAAAAAAACATATTTAACAGTAATCACTATCAAGATTTCTGCAGCATTTACATGTTTAGTCATGATTTAGAACTTCAACTTGAATACTAAGCCAACATATTCATTTTCTTCCATCTTGGATCGATAACTTCTTCCTTTTTTAATTTTTACGGAGATATTCTTATTTTTATCTAACCTCTTCCAAGTGCACCACCATGTCAATGCCATGCAATTTAGGCCTTATCTTGGTTGCACTTTTTTTTTTGTTACTCTCGCATTACCATTAATATATCTACACAAATGTAACACATCTACGGAAAGATTTTAGGGTTAGTTTCAAATACATTCTTTAATCCTAAGAGAAAAAAAAATAATGACAACCCCAAACAGGACCAAAAATAGTATAAACTGTCCTGGAATAGAACAGAAGCTTCACCCTTTTTTTCTGTTTGCATACTTGTATCATGACATTTTACCATTTCAAATTTTTCAGAAGTTATTTTAGTTATCATAATTTCCTCGAAAACCCGCAGAAAGAAAAACATTCAATCAATATGTTCCAAAGTTGTTTGCATAGTAAACATAAGAATGTGAAGGTACAATAGCTAATACTCACAAAGTGATATGACAATAAAGCTCGAAACTTGCTGGAGAGGGCATTCATCAGTATTCCTCCCTGTCCAAATTTAGCATTCATGGAAAGACATGACAATGGTGTTTCACAAGGGATTACAAAGTAAAAAAAGAAACCCTTTCAAGCCATTTTCATTGTCTAAGTAATGAGAATTATTACCCATTTTAGTAACCATAGATCTGGAACCATCAACTTTTTCGTGTAATTGAGATAACAAGGAATATAGTCTCACCAACCAATCAAATCTGTGCTCAAGATTGAGCATACATTTAAGCTTTAAATTTATCAATCACCAACACACTTGTAATGAAAAAATTATTAGAAAACATAAGATCTGATGCTTAATTTATACATAAAACGGAAAATTAATTGTAGTAAAATTTTGAACATAGGGCAATATATCAAAGTACAAATGTCTACCATAAAGTTTATTTCACTGTTTAATAGTCACACTACAATTCATTTCGATTCCTCTTCAATCCTGAGGAGGAAGAGTAAATGATAGTACAGTGTGGAATCTATCAACCACATGTGTTGAAATGATAGTACAGTCGAATGTTTCCAAATTGTCTTTCCCTTTCCTCCTTATACTCAGCAACCAAAAGCACCATTATTAGCCTCCCAATTCACCGGAGCCTCATCTTATAACAGGAAGGTAGCCCAAGATAAATGGAAAAAGCGAAAGAATAAAACATACCCAGGAAGCCCAAGAAACCTTTGGAGGAAGAAATGATCCGATCGCCCCAAAAAAAGCAAACAGAACACACCCAGCTCCAATTTGTTCAACTGTGCTTGAAAATCTAGGGAAGGTATCGCGAAGCAGGAGACCGTTCCATAACGCTGTGAGCCCTATGCATAGTGGCAGCATAGTTAAGAGAGGCACCAATGAATCGGGATTCTTGGCATAGGCCGAAAGGAGACCTGTTGTCAGAGGAATGACAAAACCGAGCACTGCTTTGCCCAATTCTTGATCCCGGATGAGTCGAATAATGGGATTCAAATTCGGGGGCTGGTTGATGTTTATGGTTTGTATAGGCAACACTTCTGATGGCGATGAGGCCGACCTTCGAAATGCTGGATGCACAGGCGAGGCATCTCTGGGATGATCAGATGGTATATTGATGGGTATTGAGACGTGATCAACCGCGTTTTTTGGCAGTTCAGGCAAGGTTGGATTGGTAGCTTTGGTGTTCATTTGACGATGGTGATTCCAACCATGATTATCATTAGCCATCGTGGGTGATGAAATTGGTCCAGGTAGGGAAGTCTGTGAGGACTGTGGGGTGCTATGTTTTGAGTCTGTTGACATACCTAGACTTTGGATCACAATGGAGCAGAGATGGATGGGGGCTATTGTGGTTTTGTAAATGGAAAAAGGACGCAGGAGCTTGAGGTTTATATGCAGTTGCATAGTAGCAGTTCAAACTAAGAACCCTAGGTGTGTATAATGCCAGTAGTGGTTGGTTGAGTACATTTCTGTAGGTAATTTCATATTGAGTATTGGTCAATGTAAGGTTATGTATTTAGTTGGTTGTACCATATACCCCTATAAAAACACATAATATTTGTTACTCATCATGTATTGAACAACTTGCATACCGTATGAATATGTGAAGACTAGCACCCCTTCTTTTTCAACTAAACTCACAACTTCTAGTGCCCACCTGTGAAAATATACTTGATCAAAATAAAAACAAAAGTAAGTAAATAAAATCCTCTAAATTTACCATGACTCATATAACGCTTGATCAAAAAACTAGAAAACTAAATTAAATAAAAGCTTTCCTCATACAATAGCAATTGAATAGGTTTATCATAGAAAAATCAATATATTCGCATTTCACACTCAAACCAACCAAGTTACTCTTCGTGTTTATTGGTTGTGTTATTTTCAGAATCATGTCAAACACTTTTTTTCCAGAAGGTAAATGCTTGTATTGATTTCCAACAAATATATACAAGTGAGGGCAAGCCCTTACAAAACAGGTTGCATCAATTGTTGCAGTGTTTTACTTGCATACAACAACAATAGCAAAAGAAACACTCTAGGCTTAAGGCTATGAGGAAAATTCAATTGGAAGTAGCCGTCTTGAACCAAAACCTATAGCCAAATTCTCCTCCATGTGTCTTAATCGAGCTGGAGTTTATAAATAATGAGGCTTATTCTTGGTACTATCTGTGGGAACCAAACAAGCTTTAACCAAGGTACTTGTGGGTAGTTCTCTCGGATGACGTTACAAATTGAGTTAGTAGAAAATCTCATACCTCCTCTAGAAAGCCATTTGATAGTGCCTTCCCTTGATTGATTTGGAGACTATAGCTTGGCACTGAATTAAGCATAATATGTAGTTGGTCTGATCTATAGATAGACCATATCCATTGATTATCAGTAATGATTGTACTGACTTTGGCGTCCTTTGGCAACCTAGATTGGAGGATGATTCTTTGGTTCAAGCACATGTCTAAGGGCCCCCTTGCATGCCAGTTATCCTGTCAAAGGCTAATTGATTCCCCCCCCCTGTTGTGTCAGTGTCGTATTAGCATGCATCGAAGATTGTCACCCCAGTTATTAGATATGATGGAATTAATATTTTAAATATTGCATACACATTATAATTTCGTAATTTGTTAACTAACGTCATGAGTATGCATCATATATGTGAAACTATTCTAAGCTTGATATACAATTTTCGCTTATTCTCTAGGAGGTACGCTTGTTGAGCGGTTGGTATTGTTTAATATAGTAAGTTAAGAATTTCAATAAGTTTAGCAAAGTCGACGTAATGCAATGAAGTAAATCGAAGCGATGCCCATAAGCATATCTAAAATATCTTTTGCTATTTGCCAAGATCAGTAATAGATTAGGGTTATGTTGTTCCTACCGTGATAATGTATGAGTATATTAGGCATTTCTAATGTATAGGGTTATATTTATGTACCATGATTAAAATTCTCAACTAAAGTGAATATATAAGTTGTAACCCCTACTAAGATTTTGTATAATGAAGATCAACCGTGCTATGTAAGCAAGTAGAATTCTGTCAAACAATGTTAATCTATGTATTTTTTTTTTATTTTCTTTTTTTCCCTCACTTTTCACTACACTGCACGTTCAACATACATAACTTATACATGTATGTGCATAACCCTATATAGTGTTTATATTTTCATTCTGCATATTAATTATAACCGTTGATTGTGTGTATGAGTGTGAATGTAGCGTGATAGAAAATAAATGGGTTTGCTAGTCAAACTAGGCACAAGGTGACCTAAGTAACCCTTCCCTTTTTCACTTGATAAGTCAACAATCTTGTCTAATTTGTTGGACTAATAGTAATTAATTAATTTATAAATGGTGTATTGGAAGCCAATAAAGAGCAATGTAGTATGTAGACTTATTCTTCCTAAGAAGTACATACATTCGAGAAGCAATGACATTTTTATTATGATTGTAAAATACATTTACTAGTGCCACTAGTCCAATCCTAATCATGAAAGCTAAAGCCTAGAGGCCCTATTACCTGTACCATGTATTCCCTAGTCAAACATTTAGTAATCGGACGTCATATGGAATGTGACTACTTCATCAGCCATGTATCATGAGAACCTTCCATTATTGTCACCCATATTGACTTTCATGAACAATTCAAACTCCATTAGGATTCTCTCTCATAACATGTCACCTTATTTTTTTCCCTAGGTTAATAATTTTAGTAACCCAAAAAAGACAGATATTACAATGAAACTCAACTTTGTTTTTTGTTTGCACAATCTTGAAAATTAAGAGACATGGATGTCATAAAAGGTTCTATCCAGCCACATATACTTCACATTTCGAATAAGAAACAGTAAAAGAAGCAAAGTTTCTTCCATAAACCATCTATAGCCATGAACTTCGTTGCTTAGCAACTAAGATTTCATATATATATATATATATATATATATATATATATAGTCCTATTGCCACATATCCATGGCTTAAGTAGTTATTCATTCTGGTCAAAGATTTTGAAATACCATTTTAAATTTGACCACATGCAACCATACTAAACTGCAGAGTTAGAAAGTCTAAAATCGAGCTCCTCTAGAAGGATAGTGACATATGGATAAGGGAATCTTTTCCTTCCTTATTTTCTTTCTTTCTTCCTTTCTTTTGGGATGAAGAGAGAAACATTTACCAACATTTCACCACATCAGATGATCATCACTAACGAATCACCACTATTTTTTGGCTAATACTATATCATCATACCGAATTTTACAAGTAAATAAGAATTAGTTACAACTAATTTAGGATCAAAGGTATGTATCAAAAAGAACACGACTGTATGAGGTCCAGTTGACTCAAAAAAATTGGGCTGGTCATAAAATATTTGGATCGATTGTAAATACTATGGTCGACTTCGAACGATCTCATTTTATCATAGTCTTACCAGATTAAACCATAAACTTACCTTATTTTGTAGAAATTCGTACTAAAGTATTGCATAATAATTTTTTAGTATTGTTGTTTACCTGATCTTATCCACTATAATCCTTGTATTTTTATCTTATGTTATTTCTTTTTGTTACTGGATATTCAGATTTGTGTCGACTACTTCTTTGAGTTCGAATAGTAGCTAGCCATCATGACCCTAACGGGTTTAGAACATGTCCCCTAAGGAATAACGGTGACTAACTCCTAGAAGATATGAGAAGTATTAAACCTAAAACCTCTAGATTATCAGATAAAAGACTCAACTACTAAAACACCGCTAAGGTTCATCTTCTGTCATTCAATTACCTTCTATTAATTGAAAAGTAGGAAGACCCAATGAACAATGGCTGCTGATTAAAGTAGCATGGAATGGAAGGAAAATGGAATGGTGGAGATACGAAACAGCTTGCTTGTATGTTCCTTTACACATTATTACAATTATACAGTGATGTATTTGTGTCGGACATCTACGTTTTTCAACCACTCTTGCATTCTTGTCAAATTTTCTTTTAGCTATGTCAATAATTGTAGAAGACTATTAAGTTGGGATGTGTCCGACACTCCTTTGGTAATGTATCCAAACGCATGAAATTTTAACATATGACTATCTTAAAATTGTTTAGCATAATCATATTAAAGTTGTAATGAATGTTTTTTTTTAAAAAAGCACATACATGGTTTTACTAAACAAGGTTTGGAAACATGAAAAAAAATATTAAATTTATGCTGGCTGTGGCTACATTTACTTTGTTAAAAAATAATGATTATGGATTATTATGTTTCATTACTATTAAAAGTTTATGTTAGAGTACTAGATATAACATTTACTTATCAAAGAGTAATAATTTTTAACTTCTTGTTGATATAGTGTGTGATATGTATATAATGATGGCAATCTCTATAATTTGAGATTTGAAAGACGATTATGTACATCGTGAAACTGTTATAGTATCCTATTTCTTTAAAGATTGGCATATCAATGGTGCTATGTCATGTGATGTCGTAATTTTGTGTCTAATTTGTGCTTCATAGTTTCGGACTAAACACTAGATATGCTTTTCTTCCCTTCTGGTTAGTCATTTGGTTCCTACTTGACACAAAAACTAAGACGTTAGGAGATTATTGACTTTTGATATTGGGCTAAACTGCATTAGGCCCAATAGTTAAGGTTGTGCACAGTGTTACCAACTCAAAGTTGTGTTTAAGCAATGTTTGTTATTGAGCTGATATGTGCAAAAAACGTAGCACAAGATAATCCACAAGCTTTAAACTAATTGAGACTTCTTGTTAATCTTTAATTGGGCTAGGCAGGTAAAGATATGGGCTGCGAAGGCTGAGTTTGATGCAGATGGAGAAGGCTGAGTTCCTAATTGGGCTAGGAACTGAACCATTATGGCAAGAAAAAGTTTGATTCAAATGGAGTAAAAGAGGCAAAAATTGGAATAGTGATATTATTTGCTCACAAAAAAAAAAAAAATAAGGAAAGTTCCATTATTGAGTGAGAAATGAAAAGTTGCAATCCCCACCGTGAAAGTGCACCTTTTTTTTTTTCTTCTTGTTTGGGGAGGGGGAGGGGAAGGAGAAGAGAGACTTGAACTTTTGATCTCAAGAAAACAAAGCATTCACAAAATAAGGAGTATCATTAGACTAAAGACTCATTGATACTGTGAAAGTGCACCTACACGCCTTTATCGACATTGTTTTGTAATATAGGTGGTTTCAATTCCATGGTGAGGGTAAAATGATAGATGAAGATAGGGGTTTTTTTTGGAAGACAAGTTTTTGTTGGTGCTAAGGAAGATAGGTTTCTGAATTTGAACCAACGTGTATCACTTGATTGAAGCATGAACATATACTACTCAAGTAAATTATTTTCTTAGAACTGGTGTACAATTTTATTTAAATTTTGTCTTTTTGCTTTCCATCTTCCAATATCTTGACGTATTAATACTATTTTCATTTGCAACGTTTGATCAATACTGATTTTCTATGGCTTTGATTTCATATATTGATCAATATAAAGCGGACAAAAAGGTTGCTCTAGTTCTCTAGGTAGTCTAGAGTGTGTAGTTAACTCTAGGGTAGCATGTGCTAAGAAGTTTTGAGTTCAACTCACTAATTTTAATGCACCTAATTGACACTGTTAATTGCAAGTATTTAGAGTTTACCCTCGGTAGGGATGGCAGTGAATTAGAGAAAAATGAATATTCGTCCAAATCTGTCGCGTTTAGACCGGAGATGTATCATATGTATTGGACGATAGACGTACATGGAGATACTTGTATAAACCCATGCGGGAATGGAGACAGGACTGAACTAAAAATCATTCTTGCCCCACCTTCGCCCCTCCCCTCCCCACCCCTGCTAAATCTATGATATCTATATCACAAAGACGCAAACTCTACCCAGGTCTACAACGATGGAGCCATTCAAACTTCTAAAACGAAACGGGGGAAAGCATCTTAAAAGCAACTCGCCACCAACACTGCCTGTAAGTCCACCCCAGCCATCGGCCAAGTCATCCCATAGGTTTTCTCAAGGATCGCTTGTTGTATGTGAATAGTTAGCTAGAAAGCAATGAGAGTTAACTTTTATGTCAGAATGAGATGGTGTTGAACCCCCTGAGGCCGTCGACGCCCCTAGCCGTCCTACCCCCTTTTTCTACTCTAATTGTTCTCTTCATCACTGCACACTTTATCATCTATGTTTTCTCACACCCAGAGCCATTTTCTCTATTTTTTCTCTGCCTCACTTTTCCCCATAAGCCACTTTTTCCTATTTGCCCTAACCCTGAAATACCCAAATCACTTTCCTGATTGCACCTTTATTTACCAATCTCTGACTTGTTTCTTGGCATTTACTGCGTCCCCACTCTATAATCTATGGAAACCGACAGAAATTTAAGGTCATTCCCAATCAATTCTGGGTCAAAGGTCGGTGAATCTCTGGTGAATAGCATTGATGGTAGCCCTAGAGTAAGCCTTAGTGTGAATACTTCAACAGAGGGTACAAATCCAATTAAGATAGTAGAGGAAATCTCTATTCAAACGCAAGCACGAATTGAAAAAAACCTCATTGATCAGCCCAGGTTCGTTAGAGAAAAAGCTGTCGAGTTGGTGACAGAGCATAGCAGGTTGCAAAAACTGATTATTGAGAATGATCTTCTCAAGCACCTATTTAAAACCAAAATGAAATACTCAAGTCGAAATAAGTCTCAAAATTGGCTTAGCAGCGTTAGTGATGGTAGAGAAATTTCTGGTGCCATTGGAAATGGAGGCAATGGACAAGCCAGGCCCAAATGGACAGAGAAATCAGTTACAAGGGATGTGTCAATGGTGAACTCACAAGGAGCACGTATACAACCTTCAACCTCTTCTGATCATTTGGGCAATCCCATGCTTGGTGCAAGGGGTGAGTCAAATGGTTTGAGTAAGAATAGATCTTGGATCAATATAGTTCGAAATGATTCGAGATCCCTGGTAGAAATGCATTACAAGGCCCCTAGTAAACAAATGGGAAGAGTTATGGTTAGACCACCCAAACAGGTAGCCCAGGAAGGATATTCCAAATGGGAAGCTTGTGTGGTGGGATACTTTATTAGCAAGAAATTGCTATTCCAAGTTGTGAAATCATCAGCTATGAGGATGTGGGGAAACAAAGGGTTATTTGATGTTATTGCCAATGAGAATGGAGTCTTCTTCTTTAAATTCTCAAGTTCAGGTAATAGAAAACGAGGTCTTGGAAGGAGTTCCTTGGCATATTGGTGGCTAGCCTATTATATTAAGAAAATGGAAACCAAGACTTAAGCTTACAAAGGAGGCTGTGAGGAAGATCCCAATTTGGGTAAAATTTTATAATATACCCACTAAATATTGGACTGCCACTAGGTTTAGTTACATAGCTAGTGCAGTTGGAAAACTTTTGTATATGGATAAGTTGACTAGGAGGGTAGTAGAGCTACATTTGCAAGGATTTGTGTAGAGGTTGATGCAAGTGAGCCTTTACTGGATGCCTTTGATTTAATGATGGAGGGTGACAGCGAAGAGGATAGTGAGAAAATTGAAATAAAGGTAGTTTACCAATGGAAACTAATTCAATGTGATCAGTGCAAAAGGTTTTGGGCATAGCTGTCATACAATAGCTATTCCCATAGAGAAGTAGTAAAGTATCGAGAAGGGAAACATTTCTGCTAATTCTAAAGCGTCTGGCCAAGTTGGGGCATGGGACAGTGCTCAAGGTGAGAAATAAGGATGCTAGATACAAAGGGATACAAAGTTTGACACAAAATGCTCAACTTATTTTAGATGGGCAGAGTGAACAGTGACAAATAGTGAAGAGCAAAGGGAAAGAGAAAGTGATAAAAGATCAACTTTTTAGACTGGAGGTAAACTTGCCATCTGAAATATAGTGCTCGGTGAAGAGGGCTGCAGAATTTTCCAATAAGTTCCAAGCTTTGGAATTAATACCTGCTACAGAGATGGAAGAGGCAGAATAGGGCATTAGTGATTTTGAGTCGCCTGAACCTGGTTCCATGGTGGACAAAATCAAGGCCATTAAAGAGGTGGAAAAGCTACTTTCTACATCAACTAGAAAGAAACAGAGGAAAGAGTAAGCAATCCTTGAACTCAAGATTAGTGGCTCCCTATGAGGGGTTGAGGTCGTCACTGTCACAAAAAATAACTAATGACTAGTTTCTTTTGTTGGAATGTGAAGGGGCTGAATGGTCCTATGAAGCAAGATGAAGTATGGAAACAAATGAATCAATATGTTGTTGGTTTGTGTTGCCTTGTCTAAACCAAGGTTAGGAAGATTAATTGTGATGTTATTTTTTGAAGAATGTTGCCAAATTGGGGATTCATTGATAATTATGATCACTCAAATAGGGGGAGAGTATGTTAGAACCCCATTTATTTTGATGTAAAATTGGATGGGCTTACTGACCAGGTTGTGCATTGCATTGTTGTTACCCTGGCCAATCAAAAGATTTTTACTGCATCTTTTGTTTATGCCCATAATGAGGAGGGACCTAGAAAACAACTATGGTATAATCTTGAACAAAGGGTTGTGGTTGTACAGAGGCAAGCATGCATTGTTTTGGGAGACTTTAATGTGGTTAAATCCAACTCCGAGAAGATAGGAGAGGTTAGTGTGAGAGATAAAGGGAGGGAGGATTTTTGTGAATGCTTATTCAGGACTGATCTGGAGGACTTAAAATATTCGGGAAACCAGTACACATGGTGTAACAGAAGATTTGATGGAGGTTTGTTTGCTAAGAAGCTAGACAGAGTGTTGGTTAATGAGGTTTGGGGAAGAATCTACCCAAATTCAGAAGCTGATTTTCTTACCCCAGGAATATCTGACCAATGACTTGCCAGAATAGGGGTAGAACTCCCTAAGAGTAGAAAGCCATTCAAATTCTTCTATTTTTGGGCTAAACAGCAGGATTTTTTACCAACTTTTACTAGAGTTTGGGGTACTCAAATAAGAGGATCTCCTATGTTTAGAATCTACCAGAAGTTGAAGCTTCTCAAAAAAGATTTAAAAGAATTGAATAAGAGAAATTACAGTGATATATCTTCTAGAGTTATAGTTGCAAGGCAAGCCCTCCAAGATATTCAAAAGGAAGCAGATAGAAGTCCTTTGAACATGCACTTATGGAAGGAAGAAAGAGAGAAGTTGAGAGATTATGTTTAACTCAGGGAAGCAAAGGAAAATTTTCTCAAACAGAAATCCAGAGTCCAGTAGCTAAACTTGGGGGATCAAAACACGAGTTTCTTCTTCAAGCATATTAATAAGCAAAGAATGCAGAGAAGGATCACTACCATTCAAAAAGAAGATGGGACCAAGGTCACTGAGTATCGAGAGATTCAAGAAAAGGTTGTTAGCTATTACCAGCAGCTGCTTGGAGGGTCTCCTCCTTGTTTTGCAATACCTATGCAGTGCGTAATTCACTACATCAGAAGGAGAATCTCTTCTAATCTGGCAGCTCTATTGTCCCTTGATGTCTCCATAGATGAAATCAAGCATGCATTATTCTCAAATGGAGTTTTTTAATGGCATTATGAAGGAGGTTGTGACACCCCAAAATCCGGGTGTCTGTAATTATCCGATTGATCATCCATCGACCCGCGGAATACTTGTGGATACCGTGTAATTCGATACCATACACCGTTATGTCCCATTTCTCGGGATCCATAACTTAACAAAATTTGGATAGAGTCTCCTTTGTACGAGGAGCTCTACCCAAAACGCAACCTGTACAATATTGACCACACCGGGTCTATCCATTCATTCACCATTATATAGTCTCGAATACTACCATAATCATTATCAGTACATACATTTATTCGTAAGAGAATAAATGTCCCAAAAAAATCTCATATACATGTCTTTGTAAATATAAACAAATGTTTGTTACAAAAATTATACAAGGCCAAAAGTAAATATAAACAAGGAACTACAATGTCAAAATAAAAGCCACAGACCAGCTCTGTCGTAAAAGCGGGCCCATGGCCTCGCCTTCGGTGGACGCCTGTGCGATATCTGAAAAATGTTCCCATAAAAGGTGAGCCAACGCTCAATAGGGTAACTCCTATAGAGAATACCTCTCAACCAAAATGCATATGGAATGTCACATGCATCAATCATTTGATACATTCATTCAAACATGTCTATTATGATCGAATGTCATAAATCATATCATGCCATGAGATGAGACTCACGCAAGCAATACTAACCCCGAGCCCCATCCTAAGCTCCCATAACACATGCAATGTCATGCGTATGTATCCGGGCATTCCAAGCCCCCATCATTGGTGTTATGTACACTCAATGACTAATTAATTCATTTTCTTGTGTCTTTGTGGGGAGGTGATTTATGGTATTACACCAATGGGACACCAACCATCAACGGATCTTCAGGACATCCCACCTGCGGCTCCGTTTCCGCCGTTACACTTTTCTGAAATTTCACCGCCAGAAAGTGTATAAACCAAGTAAGCGGATCTTGCACTCGAGGGAGAATCTAGCCCTTCTTGCTGTCCCCAACACATTTATTCATTTAAGTTTCTCGTGCGACTCAGCCGAATCTTGGTGTGACTTTTTCGAGCCCACGATCAACCACCTATGTGGTGATTGATTTCATACCATGCATACACTCCCACCCATGTTAATGCCCATGAATGTAGTGCAACCCATGCATAATGCAATACAATGTCCATTACATAATGAATACAATATAATGACATTTTAACATGATCTCAAGCATGTTATGTAAGATAATCAACTCAACTAACATACTTGTATTCACCTAGGCATTTAATTAAACACCTAAAGAACACATCAATTTACACAACTAGCATGTTATGACCTGTAACATGGCAACATGTTTATTAATTATATAAACATAAGCACAAGTCCACCAAAATAGTCATATGTCAAATAATCATTTAACATACATATTATTTCATAATCACATAACAAGTTAATAATTTTATTAAACTTGATCTGCTATTAAAATATAAAGTAATGCTAATATACAATTAACATGCTTTAAACCACTAACATTAACTTACACCAAGTTAATCACAATAGGATTTTATTAATCACAAGATTAATTAAAATTTTATATTTGACCCACTAGTCACACTAGTCAAGACCTAACATGTGGTATACACTCATAGCCTATCCATTCCATATGTCATATTTTAAGTTGAAATTAAATCTAAATAGGAAAAACCCTACCTCTCGTAGCGTGAGCCCACTTACTAGAACGCCAAGGAAGCCCAAATTTAACTTCCTAAGTTTTAGGCCTAGATTATCGGTTTTGATATTCTTTTGGAGAAAAATATAATATTTTGTGTGGTTGCGTAGCTCTCGTTGAGTAGAGCAACTTTAGTTCTTGGCCCGAAGCGATTAAACGGTCCAATCTTCGTAGATCTGAGGAAAAAGAAAAGAGAAAAATAAAAAAAAACTCACTTTCTATCTCGCCGTTTCTCCAACAAAAGCACAAGTGGAAGACTTTGTCTTCCACTTATATATATATATATATTATATAAGTTATTTATTTTTTTGTTTTGAAATTTACGTTTTTGATCCGTAATTTAACAATTAATTATTAGTTTACCCCTTTAATTAAGATTTTTAATAATAATAATAATATTTTTTTTGGGTTTTACATTCTCTCCCCCTTAAGGGAATTTCGTCCCCGAAATTATACCCACATGCACATATAACGACATGCATATAAAAAGTCATTAAATACTCTATGACTATAAGAGATGTACCTCCATTCTCGAACAAAAATGGATAGGTAGCTCGGATAGTGTCCTCACGCTCCCATGTCTCCTCCTCCACCCCACAGTGCTGCCACAACACCTTTACCCGCCTCACAGTCTTGCCCCGCAAAACCTGCTCTCGGTTGTCCATGATACGCACTGGTCCCTCTTTAAAGGTCTCATCCGCATCAACCACTAGCTCACCCCAATCCACCACGTGTGTAGGATCTGGAGTGTACTTTCGAAGCATAGAAACATGGAACACTGCGTGAACACCAGATAGATTTGGTGGTAATGCAACCCGATAGGCAACTGTACCAACCCTCTCAAGTATCTCGAAGGGCCCCATATACCTCGACGACAGCTTTCCCCGCTTTTCGAACCTGACTACTCCCCTCTTAGGCATCACCTTTAAGAAGACATGATCTCCGACCTCGAACTCCAGAGGTCGCCGCCGTCTGTCGGCATAGCTCTTTTGCCGGCTCTAAGCCGTGATAAGACGTTTTCGTATCAAGTCTACCTTCTCCGAAGTGTCTCTAATCAAATTCAGACCCGTTGAGGGTCTCTCTCCAACCTCGGTCCAGCAAATCAAAGAACGGCACGGCCTCCAATAAAGTGCCTCATAGGGTGTCATCTGTGTACTCATCTGATAACTGTTGTTGTAAGCGAACTCTACTAATGGTAAATGCTCCTCCCAGCCACCCTTGAAATCAAGGACGCATGCCCGTAGCATGTCCTCTAAGGTCTGGATAGTCCTCTCTGACTAACCGTCCGTCTGGGGATGAAAAGTGGTACTCATCATCAACTGTGTTCCCATGGCCTGCTGAAAACTCTCCCAAAAATGGGTCGTGAACCTAGGGTCCCGATCTGATATTATAGATACGGGCACCCCATGTAATCGGACTATCTCCCGTATATACAGTCTACAAAAATCCTCCAGTGTGAAGGTCATCCGTACTGCCAAAAAGTGTGCCGACTTTGTAAACTGGTCCACTATCACCCACACTGCGTCATGCCCTCGCGATGTCCGTGGCAAGTGAATCACAAA